AGCTTTTAAAGCAAGAATATAAAACTTGCATTGAAGAGTTAAACCATACTTTGGTTTGTCTGAAAGCTTTTTAAAATTACTTGTTCTTTTAAATGAACAACTTTTGTGGGTGGGCATGGAATAAAATTGTTGATATTTCTCAAGAGTCTGTTACAGTGATGCTTTTCCTTGGAGTTTGCATTGACTACTCTGATTTATTAAATACATAAAATTAATACAGGGGTAGGGAACCTTTTTGGGTCAGGCCGCTTACCCACAGAAAAATCAGTTGGGGGCCCCACACAAGTGAAAACTGCAAAAAAAAAAAAAAGCCCCTCAAAACGCAACCCCTCACTGACGTAACCCCTAACTGAGAAGGAGAAAGACACTCCTCACATTCCCCTCGTACACCAGAACCTAGGCTGGCCCTGGTTCTGGAGATTTTGTATGCTCCAGCCCCATGGGGAGATGGTGGGAGAGCTGGAGTGCTAGCATGGGCTCCCCAAAGCTGGGGGGGGGAACCCTGAGCTTCAGGGGGGCTGCATCTAGGCAAGCCAGAGGCTGTATCTGACCCCTGGGCCTTAGGTTCCCCACCCTTGATTTAATAAAATACACTTAAACTGTGTGGCACGTTTCTTCAAGAATCCATGTAACTTAAGTAGAAATCTTAGTCCTGGTCTACCTAGAAAACTGGGTATATAAAAATACATTGGTTAGGGGTGTGAAAAATCCATATGCTTGAGTAGTATTGTTACCCTACTAAGTCCCAATGTAGACAGGGCTAATTGATGGAAGAATTGGATTATCTACACCAGTGAGAGAACCTTTCCTGGTGGCAGAGGTAGAGTCTGCACTGAAGCACTATAGCTGGCACAGCTGTGCCACTGTGAAACTAGAAATATAGACAAACCCTTAGTAAACACTTCCATGTTCTGGTGACATCTTTCTCATTTTTTCACTTCATTCTTCCTAAGTCTCATGAGACCCAACTCTTTCTATTTACTGTGTTATGTTCAGAATTTTGTCATAGTTTGCAATTTAGTGTGTGATAACAAAAACAAGAACCAACAAAGGGTTATATTTAGTAATAGGCACACACATAAGGCCCTGCTAGAATTGCAAATGATAGTCAAAAAATTGTGGCTGATTTGTAGACAAGCCATAGCAAATTGTGGACCCTATTTGCAGTAACACAGTTCATTATTACTTTTCTGTGATTTTCTGCTCTTGGCCATCTGGAGATGAGCAGGGGCTCCTGTGGTGGAATCTGCAATCTCCCATGGTGAAATTCTGTGGAAGTTGCAATCTTGCAAGTAGGGCCTCAGACATTTTTCTATTTTGATGAATTCTGCAATATGCTTTTATAAAAATGTAAATACAATATTCAGATGTTTGACAACTTGGCTAAATTTGATGCAGTGTAACTATTGATTTAGGTGCATTGCTCAGAGGAAGAATGCTTCCATCATCATTGATTTAGCTACCATGGTTGGGGAGTGGTTTTCCTGCAGCAATAGAAAAATCCCATCTGTCATCAATGGTACAGAATTATACCAGCAAAACTATATAATTGTAGCCATGCTGCTGTAGTAGAGACATGGCCCTACAGTTCCCATGTGGTTTATATTTCTGGATATGTGTAGTGGTCTCAGAGTACACAGTTGATACATTTTAAGATTTTTAGAATTTGACTACAAGGCTGCCTCATGCTCAGTTGTTGAGAGCATCTTAAAGATCTTTGTACTTTTAGACAGTGCACCTCAAGAAAGTGGCTTGTTGGTGTGGTTATTGGTTGCCTCTCCATCTCTAACTTAAGTATAGGCATTGCATGTACTGAAAGTCTGAACTTAGACTATATCTGTTATAATGAAGGATAATTGTGTCATGGAAGTCATGAATTCCAAGACTTTCAGAGACCTCCATGACATTTTCTGCATCTGCTTCAGTCCCATATTTTGAGATGGCAGACACTGCGAGCTCCCAGCTTCTGTGGGTCCTGTGGGGGGCCTGAAGTTGTAATTCCTCCTTTCTTTCCCTGGTAGTTAGCTTCAACATAATTTTTAATTCACCGTCAGGTCACAGGCATCTCTGAATTTTTGTTTTTTCCATGACCTGTCCGTGACAAAATAGCCATGACACAATCTTTGACAGAAGTGGGGAAATACTTTAGGAAGGAGATTAATGTATAAAAAGAAGTTTAAAATTATTTATAATGACCTAAGGAAATATGTTTCTTGGCTTAATGGCCAGCTGGAAGAGTTAGTGACTGGGTTTTTGTGCTGTCCATTGCCAAGAAATAACTTATTGAAGGTTTTATTTGGAGTTATAAACCGAATATACATATATACAAAGGGAATTGCCACTTAACTGCCTGGAGATTGTACTAAAAAAAAATCCCTAATCTTTTCCCTAGTAGTTAAAGACATTACAATAATCAGTAAGAAATAGAACCTCATTCATAGTAATCTTAAATACCTGTACATCTTAATAGCATTGCAAATTAACCTTTCTTTCTTTTCTCCAAACAGCTTAGCAGCATCTGGGGGGAAAATCATTTTTTCTGCAATCTGTAACTGCCTGGAGAGATGGCATCAAAGTAATTTTGGGGAGCCATGTCACAAATTTTGGTATCTACTGATGCATCTGAGTTACCAATTTTTTTTGTCACTTGCCAAAAGTGAAGAGTCAGTGTTTCCTTTGAAATTTTGAGGGACTTATTAAAATATACAGCAAAGGCTTTTTGTATACATCTTTCATAAAATTAACCATTTTTAAAAACCTTGCCTGTAATGTGTTTTGGGGATTGTGTGTTTGGATATGGTTATCTTATGTATTGTAATACTTTGTATTCAATCTATTATACATGCCTCTATTATTTATGTAGACTTAAAAAGCTTCAGTAGGTATATATCAGATCCATGGGTGTCCAAATAGATATTCTTTATTCGGAAACATTTTTTGTAGTCTTACACACAGGAAAAAGGTCACAATGATGGGTGAGGTATTCTTCTCTCCCACCCCTTGGGATAGAAGAGTAGTTGGGATGGGGCTTTTTTGGGAGATGTGCCTGTTTTGTGCTGCGGAGAAATCAGGAGGAGAAGGGCATGTCTATTGTTAGGGGATTGGTTGTGATGGATGAAGTGACATTTTGTATCGTTGTTCATAAAATTGAGAGCTTTGCCCATGATGGTACTCTTAAGACAGCGGTTCCCAAGCGCTGGGCCGTGGACCACTGTCGGAGCTCAGGCTCAGCAGCAGGAGGGGCCTCCCTCCACTCTGCATTTGGGGTTAGGGGGAACAGCTTTTGCCAGCAGTCGCACTGGGGCTGAGGTGGAGCAGGAGGCACCTTCCCAGGGCCTCCCTTCCCCCCTGCCTGCATGACTGCTTTTGCTGGTGGCAGGAGGAGTTGGAGCAGGAGGCTCCTTCCTCCTTCCCTCATGATGGCAGCCTGGCTGGGGCTCCATCCTTCCCGCCCCTACCCATGAGGGAGCAAGATGGGTTTGGGGAGGAAGGGTGTGTGAAGGAGGGCCATTCTCCCTGCCCATACAGCAGTAAGGGATACACTCCCTAAAGGGGGCAGCCTTGCTCTGGGGAGTGTGGGGGTGGAGGTAATGGGTGAGGCAATGGTGAGGTCACGGGGCAAGAGGGTGTTGGCATGGGCTGTAGGGGTCAGAAGTTAAAGGGCATGGGGCATAGGAGTGGGGGTCAAAAGGTGTTAGGCACTGGTGTGCAAAGGGCTGGGTTGGGGCTAGGCAGACTGGCAACATTTTATTTGCATATTTGGATAATGAATATGCAAATAAAATATTGCTGGTCCGCCAAACTTTGTGAATGGGTTTGCTGGTCCACGGTGCAAAAAAGGTTGGGAATCACTGTGGTAAGACACACATTTTTTTCCTCCATTCCTCTCTAACCCTGCCTTGTGTAATCTGAATCACCATCATTCTGGCAGAAGGTTGGACCATGACTACCTTCAGAATCCATTTATGCTTCTTAATTGGACAGTAGATTTCTTCTTTAAAATGCAGTGAAAGCTACTGTAGTGATGATGTTTTTATTTGTAACCCATTTTTGCCATGATGGTAAGAATTTGTACAGATGATAAAAATGCACCTAAAAATAATTTCCACCATACCTGTAACTGCTGACACTAGAGTTTAAACACCTTTTTTGTTTGTTTGTTTGTTTGATACTATGAAAAGTATGTTACAAATTATAGGAATATAATGTATGATGGTAGCTACTATGTAACTCAATCACCTGGGATTTTTGTGTGTGTGTGTGTGTGTGTGTGAGTGTGTGTGAGAGAATGCTAAAAGATACTGGGCATACTGAGAAGTGTTACAGGTATAAAAATGAGAAAAATTGTTCAAATGCAGGGCTACTTGCCTATCTGTGAACCTTTAAATAGTTATGTTCACATATTTCACTGGGAGAAATTGCATCAGTAACCTAAATATTTTATCCTGATGCAATTTAAAGTGAATTATTTCAGTATCAAGCATTGTAACTTTTTAAACAGAGACTGGCTAGTAGCCAATATGTGTCCCTATTTTTTCCCATCTCCTGATATAGACTGACTTGTTAACATTCTTTTGCACTGAATAATTTATTTAAATGTTAACAAAATTATCTAGCGAGCAGTTTTTAAAAAAAAAGTTACAGGGTTGCAATTGTTGGTTTTTAAACTTTCTGCTTTGGAAACAAAAATGTATGTAATGCTTATTAAAGTCTGAATTAGGGATGTGAAAGTGTGCTGCATCAGAGGCAAGAGTGGAGGGAGAGGTAGTAGCCAATTCTTGTGGGAAGCAGGCTTTTGCATATCCCTTTCCCCCTGCATGTAACTATGTAGCCACTGAAATTTTCAATAGTTACACATTTACTTGAATAAACACATTTTAAAGACATCCCTAGTCTTTAAATAAAAAAGCTGGTTTGAGCTAGGCATTGCTACATAACCTTCTCTTAGCTCAATGATGCAGCTTTCATACTGTCCTGTAAAATACCTTTGCTCTGATCATGGGACTCTAGAGTGCAGGTGGTGAGTGCTAAACAGTATAGTGGCTAAATGTTTTACATGCAATCCAATATTGCAATAAAAATACAAGAATGAGGGGGACTGTTGGAGGTCTCAATACTGTGTGTAAGGAGGGAGGATGGGGGCGGGTTCCACTAGCTTAATAAATATAGGGCTCAATTCTCATTATTTTCCCTGTATAAATCAGATTAAACCCACTGGTTTCTAATTAACTAGGTATCTAGAAGAATTACTGTTGTATGTATAACTTTTTTTCTGCCATAGCAATCACATTGGTCATATACCTATTCAGTTCATGCACATAATTTTTGGAAAGTTAGACAAAAATATTAAAACCGCATCTGTACGTTCAGTTTACTCTAATGTAAGAGTATAGATTCACAGCCAAACCTGATGGTTGTCTTCTGTAATACTCTGAAATTGGGGAACAAAAGCACAAGTCATTTTATCTCAGAGCTGGCCACCCTAGAACATTGTCACTCTAAAATTTGGGAAGCTTGTTGGCTGGCAGACTGTTTTTGTGGAGGGTGTTCTGTGTCCTTCAGACATTACTGCTAGGACAGATTACACTATTTTGTAGAGAAGATACATTTGAGGCCCTGCTATGTCTATGTAAGCCTTTATGGTAATTACGCCTTCAGTGAATGTGTAGCTCTTAGTGTTTCAAATTGGCACCTCACAAAGTATTGTAGAATGTACAGTACAGGCAGTCCCCGGGTTACGTACAAGATAGGGATTGTAGGTTTGTTCTTAAGTTGAATCTGTATGTAAGTTGGAACTGGCGTCCAGATTCAGCCGCTGCTGAAACTGACTGCCAGTTCTGACTTACATAGAGATTCAACTTAAGAACCCCAAGTCAGCTGCTGTTGAAACTGATCAGCGGCTGATTCCAGGAAGCCCGGGGCAGAGCAACTGTGCCTCGGGCTTCCTGTAGTCATCGCTGGTCAGTTTCAGCAGCGTTCGACTTGGGGACGCCTGGGGCAGAGCAGCTGGGGTGCTGCTGGGTTGGTCCAGTAGTGCCCAGAGCGGCGCTGCGGGACCAACCGGCAACGCCCCAGCTGCTCTGCCCCAGGGTCCACAACTAAAGCCTGGTCTGCTGGGGAGGGGGGGGCACACTAGCTGCGCCCCCCCCAGCAGACCAGGGACACGGGGAGCAAAGCCGCAGTGGCGGGGTGCCGCGCCTCTGAGGCTTTGCTCTGGCCCGGGACCCCGCTGCGGCTTTGCTCCCGGTGCCCCTGGCCTGCTGGAGACGGTCCCCAGCAGACCAGGGGCACTGGGAGCAGCTTTTCTCACCCCGGAGGTTGAGGTGGACTGCTGCCTGCGAGCTCCGGGGCGAGAAAGCCCCGTTCGTAAGTTCGGATCCGACGTAAGTTGGATCCGCGTAAGTCGGGGACTGCCTGTAGTTGAATGTGGTTGTACCTTGACATCAGCATAGACGACTTCTTTTGTGAGACCCAAAGATATCTTTGGTTAACCAGGGGTGCCATTACTCTAGCAGCATAGATCATGCACGGCCTCTTGACTCACTGTCCTATTCAGGAGAGAGATAATTTTATGTGCAAAATTGGATGGTGGGTAGGCTTCAAAATTCTTTCTGCTTGACCTTTCTGGTATCTGGGTATGTAGATTTTTAAATTAACTCCTCTCCACCAGACTAATAAAAGTGGAAATGAAGATATGTGGCTTGCCATTCAGGGTTCAAATAACTACAGAATACTGTATATGTTGGAAGGCTAGCTCATTTTTGGGAAGTAAAATCTGGAAGAAATTAG